TCTGTCCATCTCTGACATAGCAAAAAATGACAGTGATTTGCTGGTGTGATGTGACAGTGACATTTGTAAAAATGCCCCTTCCTTTTAACTCCCTGAAAATTTCAGTGCGGAGGATTAAATAAGCCAGGTGGTTTACTAACTTTGTCAGTCTCCAACTTCTATAAAGCATACAGAGATACCAAATATACCCAATTTCAGGCTCACTTTTCCAACTCCTTCCTTCAACTTTCATTTTTCTAACAGCAAGGAAAGAACAATCCTCATGAATACTACATATCCAGCTTCACAGAACTGGTCTTCCTCTTCCCAGCTGCAGAGCTCTTGCACCTCACCCCTTTGCAAGTCAGTACTGTAGCATCTCTCCTGCTTGGGATTGCGCATCATGCTGGAGAGAAGCTGCCGTGCATCTCGGTGGCGTTTTCCAGCAGGCTTCAAACTCAGAAGTCATGTACAAAACATGCCCATCACAACCCGATGTCATACCAGCATGCAACCTATCTGTGGTGGATGCCTGATCAGTTGATGCAGAGCCTTATGTGATGGTTGTTGTAAGAGGTTTGCTGGTGGATTCTGGCAGGGTGAAGATCCTTCTCCTCATGTTGTAAGACTCTACTTCTCCACTGCTTTCAAGGGAAATAATTGTTTCTGCTCCTCCTTATATTCCCTAAAACTTCTTGAAATGTTTGCTACAACAGGTTTTCAATTTAAGTGCCAATATAACAAAATGTCTGGAGGGAAATCAGTTGAAGTATTCAGAAGATGACTCTCAGTATGATTCACACTGCTGCGAGCAAAGAAGAGGTCTCTCTAGCCTTCTGTAGTGGAGTGATAACAGATATTGGATGCAGTGTGTACTCAGATAAAGTTAATGGCAGTGACATCTGGTAGATGACACAGAGGAGCAAACTCTTATCATCTGTTTTTTAACACTCTGTGCCCAAACCATTATATGTGAGAGCTAGTAGAAGTGAATAACCTTTCAGTACCTACCACTCTTCCTTTCCATGCTCTCAGTCATATGAGACTGAAGGACTACTAGATAAATCACTTCCACATATTTACAAGGACAGAAGAGCTAAGAGCAGCCAGGGAAAAACGACTCAAGGTACACAGCTCATTAGTAGTGGCCTCCCCAATATTCACCAGTCCTTAAACAGGCTTGTACATTCCCAAAGCTCTCTCACAGCCATAACAAACGTTTACATAAAGTATTGTACCTTCAAAGTACTTCACCAATATGAATGTATTATTAAGGCCTTTCCCTGAAGAGAATACAGTGCCACAGAGATGCCATTCAAATGGCTGGGCTGTGAGAGGTAGAACACCAAATATTTCATCAAATCTTCATCCTCGGCCATCAACTGCAAGCCAATTTAGAAAAAAAGGATGGAAAGTACAGTGGAGTTCTATGAGTAAAAAGAAGAGCATAACAATTTTGGCCTCTACGACTACAGTGTTAAATAAATTGTATATTCTGTGATGTGCATCAACTGAATTTGATATAAAGTAAAATAAAAATAAGATTTTTATACTTAGTTTGACCTGGATGGTTCTTTCAAAGTGACTGGTGACAATTGCCACCGATGTGCTTTGGTATACTTCCTGTTTAAGGGTTGTAATAAGAAACATTAAGGATAGTTTGTCATCTGATACTTAACTGTCAACATGTCTAGAATTCTAGTTATCACTAGGTTCTTGAGAATTGAGAAACCTAAGTGTTTTAAGGGCAAAAAAGGAAAGAAAACATTCACTCTTCAAATATTGCAGACCACATATAGACATGCTTTTCAAGGACAAAATCACTATGCAACTATAACATACAGAATAGTCTACAACAATTTTTTGGTAGCAATAGAATTACATTTGTCATGCAGTTTTGGATGAAATCCAGTTGCTTAGATTTTCATTTGTTTTTTATCAGGTTTTCTCACAATTAGTAAGCCAGATCACCACATGATTTTCCTGATCACTACCAGGAGACAGGCATGTGCAGTACTGTATTTGCTAATTCTGAAGCCAGGGTACTGCTTGATCGCAGCTGCCAGCTGCTTCTGCTGTGTCAGCTGATAACAGGTTTATGGGGACAGGACCTCTCCTCCACCTTTGTCCCCCACTTATTACCTCCTCTCCTAGAATTTATCTGGCATCTTTGCTGCTGAGCAGAGGTTGGAAGAGCAAAGCTGGTGAGGTATTTGGCAGTAGTCATATATGGAAATCTGAATATTTCCTGGGAAACACAGCTCTCAAACCACTGACAGATGTTACTCTCTTGGTTCTTGGTAACGCTTTCTTTTTCTAAATTGGGCTAAGCAATTCTTTGAATGACGTTCAGCACATATATGACAAAGGTAGAGGTTCTATAAGAGAGCAAAAATAAGTGAAGACCTTTTGGATCAAATACATTTACCTAACTTACATCTTGACTAATTGGTTTCTGTGAGGTCACTTTTTATTTGTACCATAAACTCAGGAGACATTGTAGGAAAGCTACAATTAATATACAGAAAACTAAGATTAACAAAGTCTCCAACCAACTTAAGATGATATTTTTCCACATTTATTGGGTACTTCTCATGCTTATGAGCCTAGACATGAAAAAGTGGAACAGGAGACCTTCTCTATTCTGAAAAAATTGTTTTTCAGAATGTTTTCGTAGGATGATATTGCCTACCTTCTTATAAATAAAAAACCCACACATCAGTAGCAGCTTTATAAAAAGGCCCTATCAGAATCATAGAATCATAGATCATAGAATCATAGAATGGCGTAGGCTGGAAGGGACCTTAGAGATCATCTAGTCCAACCTCCCTGTTTTGGGCAGGGATGCCACCTCTCGACTAGACCAGGCAACACATGGGGACTGAGCGGGAATCAAACTCGCAATCTCGGTGTTGGTCGTTGTTGTCAGCACTGCGCTCAAACCACTGAGCTAACCGGCCCCCAAAACTTGAAAAAAATGAAAATTCTTTTTCTGTATATGTAGTACCTGTAATCTGAAGAAAGGTGAGGGTAGAAGCTCAAACAGGAACTAAGGAAAGCTAGTTTTGTCTAGTTAACATGATTCTCATGCAACTATATTTGCATAGACAAATGAAAAAGACATGGAGAAATACACATCTGTCAGTTCACTTGGGCTCTGAAATCACAAATAAGGCTCAACCTAGGTTTTGTCCCTACTGCAAACTATTCAAAGTCCTTGTAATACTCTTCTAATATCCAAATACTTTGAGAATTCTTTCTTTTAATTACTTTATTTTATTTTGATAAAAAGTTCCTTCCAAGTCAGAATGCATTTCTGGAAGTAGCTCACACTGTATTTTAAACAAGTTTAACATAATTTTCTATTAGCAGGACATGAACTTTATGAAGCAACCAAGGGACTGAGTCAGGTCTCACTGTGGATGTGAGCCAGAATACTCAATTGTTCTATGCCAGAAGACAGGTGAAATCCCATGCTAACCTGTGCCGAGTTATCTGTCACCTGCATATGGGGATATCATTGTTTATGTTCTAAAAGCTTGATGTTACACTAAAAAGGTGAAGGTTCAGTTCCTCTTTGTGTACTATTTGGCTTCTTTTATGTATTTTGCAACAGAAAACCATGAAACACTTCAATATCACACACAGTAGGGCAATAAAAGTCCAGTTTGATACTTAATAAAGTTTGGAAGGATTAATATGCTCTGATTTCACATTTCTACCTTTCTGGTATGCTGAAGCTTTAAAGGAATAGGGCCCTCGAACTGAAAAATTCATTTTTAACTTTTTTTCTGATTTTCATCTTTAGCTCCAAGAGTGGATGAAAAATACGCCATGTAGCTTGGATACCAATGTCACATGCAATAAAAGAGCCCTGCAAGTTCTTTCACTACAAAACAATGCAATGCAGAATAGTCTCAAGGTAGTAGTGGTTTTCAAAACAATAAGCAGTAGAAGAAAGCCATCTGAAATCACAGTCTTTAAAAACAAACACTCAAAAAGGCAAGACTGAAATCTATCATTTTTGAAAATGTGAGAAGGATGCATAGCTCAGCATCTGCTGAATTTTTAACAGTGTGTAGTCTAAATCAAATATTCAGGTTTTCATCACTTCTATTAAGGCACGTTTTCATCCAGAGACTGTGCTGTTAATTACAGAAACTCAGGTTTGAACCCAAAGCAGTTTATTAGCTAAATCAGACAATGAGTGACTGAGACTCAGATTCCTTCTTCTCCCACCATAGAACTGAAGTACACTGTGCATTCTGACTACTATGAGTGGGCAGATATTATCTAGCAATCAAAAGGAAAAATAAAGTAAAACTGAGTACAAAATGGTCTTATACAAAGAAAAAGGTGGATGTGCCAGTATGAACAACCTCACAGGATGCACAATTTAGTGATGAAACATTTCCAAAAAGTGTATTGTGTACTTGTAGCACTATACCTACTAAATAATGAATCCACAGGATGTTGGCACAGAGAGGAAAATAAAAAAGGTGATTAATATTTAAGTGAGATGCCATTCCAAGGTCTTTGTCAAATGCATAATTCCAATCAATGGATATTACCGCATAGCAACTAAAAAACCCAGTAAGGTATTTCAAAGAAAACCTACCATTATCTTCATGCACAATAAGAAGCCTTGAGATGCAAACATTGAGAATGATTAAGGTCACAAAGAAGCCTAAACATACCCTGCTCTTATAATTCAAATGCAAATTCTATGTCCCCAAACCACACCAATTCAAGAAAAAGTCAAACTCATGAAAACTTTCTTAATATGTTGCATAAAGTATCAGAAAGATTGAAAATAGGATTAGCAAAGGAGACTGTACCATTCAACGAGTATTGGAAAAGATGTTTATCAAAAATTTATCAGGCGAACTAAGTCTGAGAAATGCTGATAACAGATGGGAGCTGTCTTCGAAAAAAACCCCACTGCCAATTTGACTTTCTTTAGCTGAGGAAAAAACTTGTCCTTGGGGGAAAAAAAAAAAAGAAAGTCTGATTTTTCTTACCTCTTCCTTCTCTGCACTTTGCAAGTCCCTCCACTCCTCAGTGACGTGACCAAAGTCCACTGTGTTCATTGCAACCTTATATTCTCCGATGATATCGTGTTTGGAGAAACGATCAAAGTCATAAACTGCCATCACTAAAGTTTTTCCACCCAGCTCGGAGTATGGCACCTGCGAAGAAGACAAAATGACAAACTCCGTATCTGACACAATAAAGATCAGTCCACTCCAATGCAAATCTATTTCTTTGGCTTATCAGCTGTCATCTCAGGTAAATTGAACTGCAGAGAAAATGATGAGGTGTATTTGTTTCAGAGCCACCAGACGCAGTATTTTTTGAGACCAGGCTCTGGGACTCGACAGAACAATGTGGCAGCTCACTCATCACTCCTTGGTTTTTTTCTCATTCTACTTCAAATCATTTTGTGGGTGATGAAACTGAAACAAGAAGCCCAATTATTTGCACTGAAGATACATGAACTTTTCACACAATGGTGTCTTTTCCTCAGTAAATCAACTGTCATCACTCAGAAATAGGTAGCTCCCAGCCTGATGAAAAAACGGAACTGGCATACTGTATCTGACATGAAGTAACTAGACAGTAAATAGTTCCCTTACAGTACCACTACCTATCACTTACCAAGGCATATTTTTCATTATTATACTTTTCACACTGTAGACACTAAGGTGCTTTCTAAGTCACAGTGTATACCTAGAAATCATGGTGGTATAACACCAAGCTTTGACTAATTCTCCAGCTGTTCTGATGTGTTTGGGACAGATGTTGTGGGTTAGGATGCTTATGAATCACATTTTTAATATTCAGATGAAGATGCACAGTTCAGGCAAGCTGCACTTGAGGGGTCGTCTGGAGAGGTCTGATCTAGGGATTGTTTGGACTTAAACTGAACACTTGGTCAATTTAAATATATTCTGCAAGTATAAACAGTTTCCATGGGCTTCAGTAAACATTCCTCTATTAATTATCTATATAAAAAGAGAAATGACAGCGTGGCATTATCATTGACCTTGTTAACCCACATATGTTCCAGTCTGTTTAAACTCTAGGACTGTTGTCTTTTGTTCAGTGTGGCTTCAACTTGCTTTTAAAAATACTTACTAAGATGAGTAGCTTCCTTAACATGTTAAATAGTGCTTAAAAGAAGCTTTTCAAGTTAAGAGCTAGCTCCAGCTCCATTACTGAGTAGAGTGGGTACAGAGTTGCATACTGTAGTAAATACTATAGCAAAATCTATTTTGATTCCTTAAATTATTTGTAGCTTCTAAAAGCTATTGAAGCCAAATACATGTGGAAGGTAAAACTCTAAATAATTTCACTTTTATTTTTAGGCAGACTCAGAACCAGAAGACAAACGTTCCAAACTTTCTTTCTCGATTAGTTTACAATAACACCCGGTGGTATTGTAAATGTATGTATCTTGGTCATTTGGAAAGCATGAAAAGACTACGTTTATCATTATTTACTTTTTTAAATCATTGAGCTGGCTTCACTAAAGCTTATTTTAGCTATCTTCCTTTTTGAAGCAGATCTAGTGGCAGCTATGTCTACAGCAGCCTCAGCCTCCAGCTTTGTTTAGCACTACCAAGGATGTCCCCAGCTCTTGTGAAGGATTGCTCCCTCTCCCTGCTTTCTCCTCTCCTCAGAGACACTCAGCCTCTTGACTTAACCTTGGCAGACCTCAGTAGAAGGGCACGTACAGGAGTGTTTGTCAGGCACAGACTTGTTGCTCCTCTAGATATGAACCCTCTTCTTACTTTGGGCCTGAGGAGGAACACCTCCCTCTGCCAGAGTGGCCTAGTCCAGCTAGGATTTCTCAGTTCCCTTTTGGGCAGCACAGTGCAGGTATACAATCATAGAATCATAGAATGGCCTAGGCTGGAAGGGACCTTAGAGATGATCTAGTCCAACCTCGCTGTCATGGGCAGGGACGCCTCTCAACTAGATGAGTCTACTCAAGGCTCCGTCCAGCTTGGCCTTGAACACCTCCAGGGAGGGGGCAGACACAACATCTCTGGGCAATTTATTCCAAAGTCTTGCAGCCCTCATACTGAAGAATTTCTTCCTAAGGTCCAATCTAAATCTATTCTCCTTCAACTTAAACCCATTTCCCCTTGTCCTCTCACTGGACACTCTTGTAAAAAGTCCCTCCGCAGCCTTCCTGTAGGTTCCCTTCAGGTACAATTCGGGCAGCTGGAGCCTGACAAACACCCACACCCTGGAATGGCAACACGGAGGTCTGGGAAGTAGAATTGAAAAGGTGACTAACACAGAGAGTCACCAAAAGAAGAGAAGGAATGAGATCCAGGGCTCCTTTGCAAGACAGCAGAAACACAACCCATTTCATCCCTGCTGGCCCTGCTCTGGGAGGGGGCTCACAGCTGCGCTGTGGGCTCGGGCTGCCTGGTGGGTGGCTCTGCTGAAGCGAGAGATGGGAGGAGATGCCAAGAGAAGCTGTGCACCACCTGATCTGGGCCACAGGAGTAAGGCTCTGACCAAGCAAAGGAGATATTGCCAGTAGTTCCCAGGGAAGTTAACTCTTAGAGCTGCAGCGCTGGTTAAGCAGCCGCTTGTCTTTTTCATTGTACTCCCCAGAACAATGATGGTACATGGCAATGCCCCATCAGTTTTCTCTTGAGCATGACCACAGTATCCAGGGGCTGGTCAGTACCATACTGGGATGCACCTAAATGCTCTGTCAGGTCTTGCACAGAGAGCAAACTCTCTTCTGGAGCATAAAATTTGAGTATTAAAGATGTGATTCAAAAAAAAAGTGAACACTATCACCCAGGAGTGGATGATCTGATTTATAATGTGTGGCTTCATCTTAGTTGACAGCATTATTGGTTCTTTCTTTTCTTTTGTGAGCTGCATAGGAATTTGTAATTTATAACTCTGTTTTCTTTTAAATACTCTCTTAGGAAAGCTCAAGGAAAAAAAAATATTCCCCACAAAAGATTACTTTTATGAACATCTTCAAGGGAAAAAATAAGCTTATATATGCAGTAGTAGTTCTGGCCTCCAGGGATATCTTTCTCATTGAATGATTACATAGCCTGAGTCTTTCACTGTTCCTGTTTTCAATCTGTAGCTGTTATTATAAGATTGGGCATACAGAGAAAGGCCTAAAGTAACAGCAGAGGAATGTCTATTAGGAGAAGCCCTATGAAATACGCTGTAAAATATTCCTTTACTGTATTTAGTTAAGGCTATAGTTTTAGAAAAGCACTATTGATAGATATTACTGGAACAACTTAACTACTGCAGCGTAAGGCTTAACTACATTTGTTTAATTTGTTATTAAAGCTGAGACATGGCTTCTTTTCATATGTAAAGTAACATGGCAAAGAATTGCTATGACAAAGTCTAGCAAGATTAATCTGCCATATTGTCCTTCATCCATTTACCTTCCTTGAGTTTTAATTTATTTTTGACGGGAAAAGAAATGGTATACTGAAATTCATAACTCAGACTACAAAGATATTTTTTAAAAAAAGCTAGTCTAGTGAAATTTACCTGACATTTATCAAACTGTCACTGTATTCTGACTTTCTTGTAAGTTCTATCCAGTCATAAAATATGGATCAGATTGTCATACATGAGGATAACTGAAGTGCCTAAAATCAAACTGTGCCTTTTATGCCTATTGAGGTCTGACTCTATGTTATACCATTTTCATTGCAAGACTGAGTATTACAGGTTTCTACAATATGAAAAATTGCTGTTCTGCAGTTACCAATTAAGACATCTAAGTTTGTTCCCAAGCATGAGATACATAATGATTAAATAAGCAAGTGCCAATAATTATAAAAAAAATACCTTGAACGTAAATTGCTCATTGAAAACAGGGTTAAGAGTCTTTCTGTGGACTTTTGTCTCATATTTTTTCTTCTTATCAGGCAGCAGGAAAACTTTCACATAGGGATCAGATGTACCACCCATGTCTAATGCAGGCAGCTCAGCTGCTTGAATAATCCCAACCAGAAGCTGAAGAGGCAGAAAAATAGCAGAATGAAATTTCAAATAGATATTTACAAAAAAAAATATAACAGAGAAATACACATGCAGATTCTATTTCTGGTCTACAAAAAACTATTCCTCCCACCAACCCCCTTCAAGGAAGGCAAATGAAACAACACTATAGACTTTAGAAAACCAATTACGGCAGATGCAGACTGTACAAAGGCTGTTTTTAAGCAGAAAAGAGGTTTTCAAAGGGCAGCTGATTACAGCTAAATACAGACTTCATCTTTTTAAAGACTGCAATCAAATAACTTTCAATTGCTCTCTCCTCTTGTGCATTATTTTTCTATGCTGGGCACCATGAATAGAAATCACATTATTAAACAATCAAGAATGTCTAATTTTGACTACAAAATTATAAATCCTCAACACGTAACCTTCCCCCCAACAAAACAGAAAAAGGTGATATTTGAAATGTAAATCCTTAGGCAGAGCTTACTGAAAACAAATGGATCTTTAGTCTTCCTTATAATTAACTTGTCTTGCTATGTACACAAATGGGTTTAGGTAGTATAGGACAGCATTTTCAGAGAACACCCCATGAAAACTAACCTGAACTAACAGAAACTAACTGAATTTGGTGACAGAAAAATTAGGATCTTAAATCCCCTATACACTTTTAAAAATAAGACTGAAGCACATTTGAAACTTGTAAATTCTTTGGCCATTTAAGTGTTATAAATGAAAGGTTATGTGGTGTTGTTACGTTGTTATGTTATGTTTTGTTACGCTATGTTATGTTATGTTTCTATGTTTGTTATGTTATATGTTATGTTATCCAGACATTCCAGCCTGCATTAGCTCTCATCAGCATAACAGAGCTGAGAGAAAGAAAATACTTTTAATCTTGTTTCATAGACACAGAACTAAAGTAAACATTCATGTGATTCTTCAAGGTCATTCTGGAGACAAGATATTAAGAAGTGGGAATGAAATCTGAGAATATTTTCTTCTAAATCATTGCTGCAGTCACAATATATTTGCTTCTCTCATGGATGAATTGTTCAAAATTGGAATAGAAGCCCTAACAACTGGAATACTGAACAATATACTCAATCTAGGAAAGAAGCTTCTGGCTTCTGAGAGATTCCTCAGTTTGACTTATTTTTACCATTTTTAAATTCATAGTATGGCCTGCATGCTTTCCCACCTATAGCACTCTTAAGCTACATGAAACATTTTCCTTTAGCTGTAAGAAACAGTTCTTTTCTGTCTCATTCTTATTCTAGATGCCTAACAGTTCATAAATACATGCATAGGCTTAGGATCCACATCAAGTCTTTCACATCAAAGAGGGAAAAATAAGTCTATGGCTTTTAGTTAACAGAGTAGAAAAGCAATTCAAACTCCCTTTTAAAATATGTCTCTTCAAAACCAAGGCATTGTGCTCTGGAGAGTACATTGGTCATCTTGTCCCTATTCCCAACCCTGTGCAACATATTAATCAGATTTTTGGTCTGTAGTTTCATGTCACCACACTATACTAACCTAACTAAATCCCCTCTTCTACTCTTTTATATCATGTATCTTCTGATAAATTCCAAGCTGCGACACAGTTTAGAGCAGCAAAATGAAAACCTGACCACAGGTTCTTGAAAGGCTTCAGAATTCTTTTTGGCTCTTGCACTGAAAAACAAGCACTGATAGCCAGAAGATAGTTGAAAAGACAAGGAAATATGATGTGTTATGCTAGGTCATAGCTGTGTGTAAATACCCCGCTGCTGACACAGAATTTTTCCTTAATTTTTTTCTTATTTCCTTGACCTGTTAAGTAGGTCCATTCTAAGCCTACATCACATTATGGTGTCTATTCCTACTGAAAACTTGGGTAAGTACACCGAAGTTTGGTCTTATCAACTTCAAAGTAGGGTACTGAAGGTGTATCAGCCCTTGTCCAACTTGCCTGGGTTTTTCTGGGACAGACTATTTTATTTGAACTTTTGCCCAAACTTAAAACTTTCTTGGCTAGTCAGTGTACTTTTGTGGAGAGCAACAGAACTTGATGCAGCTAGTTAATAAGGGAAAATGTACACTTGATGAAGTGAGGGAAAGCTATTCCTAGCAATCTTACCAATTAGGAAATGACTTTAATGTCCGTCTCTCTTTCTCCTCCCATCTTTTGTTTGCTTACATTTTAAATACCTGAAAGCTGAAGCTATCTTTTCCTGTCTGCATGCAGACTCCATAATATAGTGTAGGCTGACATTGATTGGTGATGCCGTAACGTATGTTATTAATAACCATTAGGTAAAACCGTGTCTGCAATTTTGATTAAAAGTGTAATATAAACTAACTCTGAGTACACTGAATACCAGTTTAGTAGTAACTCTGTCATGAATCTTCAGTCTTATTTTCTCCCTTCACTCTGTTCAAGCAGTAAGGATTTCAGATATATCTATGGTAACTAAATGGATTACTTCATTCTCCACGTGCCACACATAGAAATGAAATGTTACAGGTTGTTTGCTTCAAACCTGATTGTTCTGGAAGTCATAGTCCAACGAATATTGGATTTTCCCTAGTTTCTCCACTTCTTTGGGTTCTTCTTTCTCTTCCCCATCGGTCAGCCCAGTCTCAGCATCATCATCCTTAAGAGCCTAGAAGGAATGTAATATTCATAAATAAGGCAAACTCTTAAGTACCAGTTTAGATACTGTCCTCAAATCTATTTTAAAGCCATTATAAGCAAGCATGACAGCAGAAATCCAAATATGCAGTTTTGTGTATATTTATACTATTTAGGTTGCTCAGGAAGATGTTATAAATCAGCAAGCAAGCAATGGAAGTAGGACGAAAGCTTCTTGGGCTATTCAAGCAACGATTGTTATAAAACCTGAAAGTAGAAACAAAATATCAACTCGATATAAAAGGATTCTTCTGGGCTCACATTGGCTCTTAAAGAGGCACAAGGAGGCAAACATGCTATTAAAGAAGCAAAGTCACACATTCCTTCAACTTAAGAACATCTTGGCAATGTCAAACCTGGTTGTGCATGCTGTGAATTGTTTGCAATTGGCAACATGTTTCTGTAGGATTACTATGATAAAGAGCATGTGCTGTGGATGAGTTCTTCCTGCAATCATATGGCAAACATCTTTCATGTTTATTTAGAATGAATATGGAAGCAAAGTTTTCACCATGCCATTAGCAAATGCATGTTTCTCCTTTTCCCTCCCACCCGAGACCAATTTCCTTTTTATTCATTCTCGCTATAAAGCTTGGCTGAACCAAATTGATTGCAATTTGATTTTACTTTGCTTAGAAAGAAACACAAAAATAAAGAAATAGAGAACTGCTTACAGCTTTGTCTATTGCAGAAAAACTGCTATTTTTAAAGGAGACAGCAGTTATCTTCGATTTTATACATAACTAAAATACGAAATGATGTAATCATTTTCTTCCTGTACCAGAAAGCAGAAGTATTTGCACTGTGGAAAAGGGAATTCATACAATTATTAAACCATAGGAATCATAATTATGTAGATTTTATTCCAGCAGATTCCTACCTGAGTAAGAACTGAAAAATGGGCAAAAATGATGAAATAGTGAAAAATTGTGGAAAATGTGAAAATAAAGTTGAGAGTGTGAAAACAAGGAATCATTACTGAGCATTCACCCAGAATTGTTACCTGTGTGTTATAGTAAACAATCTGCTTATCTACAAGAGCCTTATCTGGATGAAAGTTCCTTCTACATGGAGCTTCTGCTTGCACAGACAGACTATTAAGTGCCAAAATAAGACTTCTTAAGTTCTTTATTTTTTTTCCACAATGTGAGGTGCTCTGAAGAAACCTGCAGCATTTATAGACAATAGGCTGCAGCTGGAGCTCTCATTCTGAAGAGACAGTAAGGCTGGAAGGCAGCTATATCGATGGTTGATGGTGGCTGGTGAAAGAACGAATGTGAAAGCATTAACATTCTCACTCAGCCATGAACACAGTGGGGACCACGCAACAGTTGCGTGGGTGTGGTAAGAAGGAAGATTGATCGCCGAAGTAGAAAATGTTATTTTTCAGAAGCCCAATCTAAACTCAAAAGGTCATACTCATATTAAGCAATTATTTCTCTACTTTTATAAATAAGCTAGGAATTCAGCTGGCATAGCTCAACTGAAATCAATGCAGCAACATTGATTTATGCAAGCTGAAGAGCTGGATTTGAGTTAAATATCTGAATGTTAGTGAATGATGGACTCTTTACTAGCAACATAAACTACAGTGTACCTAGATGAGCTCTGTGGGAGAGGTGGGTAGTGGATAAGAATCACTGGTGATGTTGCAAGAGTAATACTTTTGAACTAAACAGCTTCTGTTCGGAAAGACTGAACTGCCTGAAATGAAAATTATTTTGAGATATTTTAATCTCTGAGCAGCTAGTGAGTGCCTGGCTGTAGCACAACATTTTTCTTAGCCCAGCACCAAGAGTCAACATTTCAAAACTGACAGGCTCCGTGACAAGAGGCACAGCCCCTCCAGCACCATATATGGGCCTTTCAGAATATGGGGTGATGTGACTAGAGCAAACACCTTGTTTTCATTGGTAATAAAAATTAACTTGAGGTTTTGTGATCATAAAAAAAAAGGAGGAAAAAAAGAGATGTGACTCAATCCAGCTGAAGCAAGCACATTTATCTGAGCCTGGAGACAAAAGGAAGCAGTAACTCAGAGTGGGATGTTAACTCCAGGACTCACTGCTCTGAATCATCTCAGTACTGCCCTAATAGAGGACTTTATGACTGAAGAGTGATAAACAGCTCCAATATGTCACTGTTTCTGGGATAAGTATTGGACTTTGTGCTCTTGCATCTGCTTTTGACCTGGATTTTGTCTGAGAGGAAATATCTTCAAGGATAAAAGGGAGAATGTAAAAAGACCCTTATACGCTAATTTCTAGGTATGAGGAATTTTTAACTGTTGCATCAATGTAATAGATATCCATACTCTCTCTAGGAAAATTATATACTCCTCTGCATAGCTGATTGATCTGAGAGATGCCAGGGCTGTGGGTACTCAATTTGAAAAACTTCTTACTATGACTACAGAAAATAGAATGGGAAGCTAATGTCCCTCTTGCAAGGGAGTTCTGAAGTGCAGGCACAAAACAATTGGTTGGGAAACTCTTCTCCACAAGTTATGAGAGGCGTATTAGAAGGTGAAAGCAATTTCCCAGGGGAGATGGAAACACTGCGTGTTACTCACACCAGCTGAGAAGCTATATGATTCTCCTTGACCTTGACTCGGAAACACTGAAGCACAAAGAAACACTAAGAACGAAACAGTGTTTGGATTTGGTCAAGGTTGTGCCATGGGGAGAGGGAAAAAATGACAAATTATTATTTCTACAGCAGTCTATACATAGTAGTTTTTACTGTCAAGAGAGGAATTTGCTTTCAAACTAGAGGCCAATGCTTCAAGAAGCTGAGTCAAAGGAAGCACAGAAGTTTCTCAGGTTTGATGCAGCTCTGAGTTCCAAAGAGGAAGAAGAATTGGATTGCTTCAAAGTACTTGAAACACCCTGTAGGGATTTTCATTTTATATTGAGATTCTATGAAAGATCAATATTTAATGGAATAGTACTGCAACCCTCAATTTATGGCACACTATATCACACTATATTGGATCTTTCTCTGGTATTGCTACAATCAATTAAAATATGCAGCTATACTTTATTGGTTTTAGAAACAATAAAATATTTTTAATTATAAGCTAGCTTTTTTCTCAAGTCTCTTTGACTGACATAACTATAATCAGAAAGTCAGAATTTAGATGCAAGGCAATATAAGCCTTTCCTTTCCTAATATCTTTTTTTTTTTTTAATTCCATGACATTTTAAATGCTTTTTTGGTTAAATATGCACCATAGAAATGCATTATTACATTGTGCTGATGACCAGACTTATCTTTTCTAATCTGGGATGACTGTGAACTTCACTCAAGTGGTTTCTTCATTTCTGTACAGTATACACAGAAAGACACAACAATGAAACCTCTCTATCCTCTTACACGTGTCTAAGTATCTGAAAACATAGGCTTGTATGAAACTAGGTGTAGGAATGTGAAAAAAAAGAGTTAATCTAATACAGCCATTACAAAGTGATACATTCACATCTAAGGAAATCAGCAAGTGGGATGTGTCAGGGACCTTAACAAAGTCGCAGAATATACAATATATGTTTTCTTAGAACTGGAAGATAAAATGAGTTTTTGAGCAACCTCTCAATTCATATTTGAATGAGCTCTGTAATTAGTTCTAACCAAGGGTGCAGACATAAATCTACATATGGCATTAGGATTTTCTCTTTTGTGTCATGTCTAGTTAATCGCTTTCTAGCTAATCTACTCTGTAGCGATTCCTACAACAAACAGGGCTAAATTAAAGCTATCTGGGATCCACAGTTCAATCTGCCGGTTGTTCCTTCACTTCCATAACATAATTAAGAGTGCTTTTACAGTCCTCCTTTTTCTTCCGGGTTGTCAAAATGCTTCCTTTTTGATTTTTTTTTGTAGTTGCATCTTTCTGCATTAAAAAAGGGAAGAAAAACCCAAAACTGCTTGCAGTGGCAATTCTGCAAACTCCACATCTCGCGGTGGGATTTACATATCCTGGGCTGCCTCTACCTCTTACTCCGCTGGCTGACAAAAGCCTCTCTCCAGCGTTGCTGCTTCCTGACACTGCCAACAGCCCTTGCTTCCAGCTCAGTTCCACCAAAAGCCCCTGCACCTTGTCACTGGGTTTACCCCACTACTGTCCACCAGAAGAGAGATTCTGGGGATTAAACCACGTTTATGTAAAACTTTTATTTAATCCTTCCCAAAACTGCTTGTAGAAATCGAGAGGGACCTGCAAGGGATTTAAGTGCTGTTGGTCTGCTGGTTGCCTTCAGATTCCACGTTCACAGAAGCTCCACAACAACAAACTGATAGGAGACTCGGGAAACAAAGCTATTGGGGGAGCAAGTGCACTTCCCTGCCTCCTGTACAGTGAGGCAGAGGCCACAATCACGTCCGAGTCACCAGGAGGATGCAAAGACCCATGAAGGTGTATTTTGCACTTTGAGTCCAGCCTCAGTTATTTTCACGTCTCCTTGCTGATGCCTAGTTCATGGCACAGGATATTTAAGACTGCAAGTAAAGTGTGTTTTGCTGTCGTATGTAAAGAAATACCTTCACTAACAAAGTTTTTAGGGTTCCTTCCATTTATGGGGTGGCTTATAGCCTCACTTTTAAGGAAACAAGTTGCCAATAAGCAAGAAGAAGAGATGACAGGAAGGAAAACACAACACTGACCACAACTTGTACGTTTATTTGCTGCACATTACGTGCTGCCATCCCGAGTTGCATCTCTGCCTGCCCCATCAATCACTCCTTTCGTTCACATGGTGAAGGGGATATTTTTTTAATAAGTGAATGATGCCCAGTCCTCAGGCTTGTGCAATGCCTGCTGAGCTGAATGGAAGAAAACACTGCGATTTTGTAGCAAGAATGTTCTGTGCCATGTCCAACAATGAATTTATCAGAAAGGCAATTTTTCCTCCGTGCCCAGGAATGGCTGCATTTCCACTAATGGTGGTGCACCTCTTATCAATTTCTTTCACATTC